GATTTGGTGATATATTTAGGGACAATTGTCTGATGTCTAATTTTGTCAAATTTGTAGGGTCTTGTATGTGCCCCAAGTAATGTTCCTCATGATCACCGGGCGAGAGAAGATGAGCTCAACCGCCTCAAGGTATCATTGAAATCTTATTTAAATTTCATGTTCTCGCAACTTGCTTTATATTTGTAGTTGTATGCCAAAGTCATTTGGAGGATTAACCGAGCATTGTTCAGATGGTTGACTCGCAGACCAAACTTTGGTCACGAGTACTCAAAAGAAGATATGATAATGATATTCAACTAACAATATGTGAATAATCATAGCATGATAAAGAACAAAACTCCCCATTCCAATTGCTCACCTTTTTCAGTTCCAAATTTCATTGGTGCTTTGTATCCCGATATTGATTCGGTATTTTGTCATTTTTGTTATTAATTTTGATTACGTACTCTGAGTTGTTAGGTTGTGTGCAAAATCTAGAGAAGTTGTTTCGTCTCTGTTGAGCATCCGACACTTCATTATCTCGTACATCCTTTTGTTGCTTTTATGGAGATTAATCTTGCTATGAATGTCACCGATGCTTGTGTAAAATCTAGGTTAGGCACCTTGATACCTCTGAATCGCATAAGCTTACAAAGAAATGAAAGATGAACAAGGTAATCCATGTTTAAATATTGTGATACCATTGTGCCACAATCAAGCATTTTTGAGGGATGTGATGTGCGATATTATTGAGTATTCTTACAAGCATATTATACTATTGTAAGTGAGTTGTCCAAATGATGAGAAGAAGTACAAGGCATTAAGGTGTGCCACCGAAAAGAGATACTGCAGAGTGCCGATGTCATTTGTTGCACCTGTGTTGGTGCCGGAGATCCTCGCCTTTTCGGACTTCCGCTTCCGACAAGCAATTATTATCACCTCCTGCTGTCTCGGGTTAACAATGATTCTGTTGTGTCATATATCCCGAGGCAACAATAAACTTTATTGTCGTGTTCTTATTGATGTGTCCACGCGAGCAATGTAACCTCGGATGTCTTATTCCTTTGGTGCTTGGTGTCAAGCGGTAAAAATATAAATTTGTTGCTTTATTTTATTATCATTTATTTATTTATTTATACTCTTGTAATTGTAGGTTGTCCTTGTTGGAGATCATTGCCAATCTGGGTCCGATCATCATGTGCAAAAAAACACCCATGCATGGGTTAGCACAATCTCTCTTTGAACACCTTATTCCTTTGGTGCTTGGTGTCAAGCGAGGTAAAATATAAATTTATTGTTTTATTTTATTATCCTTTATTTATACTCTTGCAATTGTAGGTTGTCCTTGTCGGAGATCATTGCAATCTGGTCCAATCATCATGTGCAAAAAAATAGCCCGTCTTGGTTAGCACAATCTCTCTTTGAACGCCTTTGTTATCCTTGGAGTGAAGCTATTCAAAGCATGTAATATAATATACACGCATCGATGTATTATGCCTCAACAATGCTACCTTGGTGTTATTATTCTTTCCTGCTTCATCCTCAGTAACTTTGGCACCACATGCATAAAGGCTATGATTTTTCTTGCTTTATTGTTTTAGTTCTAGCAGATTACTTACATTTTTCCGTAGAGAGATAATTATTCTTGCTTCTATAATTTAGTGGAACAGTATTCTTGCTTCTATAATTTATAAGATATTATTTCTTTGGCCAATATGAACTCCCATATGAAATGTACACAGGCAGAGATAGTTGATCTCATCCTTTTGGTGATATAATGATTTATTGTTCTTTCTTTGAAAATGCCATATGACCTTTACAATGAGAAAGAATTAAACTATTGCCAAGACCGATCATAGAAGATATTTTTTTGTTTGGGCAATATGAACTGCCATCTAAAATCTACACAATAAGCACATATCTCATCTCCTTTCTTCGTGATAAATTGATTTATTAAACTTATGGATACCGCCACCTAAAATATACACAATAGGCACCACCATCTAAAATTGAGGTAGCTCCTGATAGGCACCATCTCCCATTCATGATGCGTGAGAAAGTACAATTTCTCAAAAGTTACTTCAATTTTTGAGGCGATAATTTTTACAGTACAAATACTTTCAAAGATGATGATACCGTTAGTTCGCGAGTTCCTTTCAATTTTCCTCATGTTTAGGTTAATCCCCAATCTCTGCAAACAATCATCCCGCATTCAAACATTCCTCACCGCATACTTTTTTATGCATAGATTTCATCCATAATTTTTTTCAAGATATGTGATTCTAAAGGTTTACACACTATGCAATTTGTTGTCTTGCTTTGGAACACGTATGTGGTTTACTTTTGTGCTTATTTTCTTACCATCGTCGTCATGACGAGTAGTACACGAATTTGGTTTTACATGGTAAGCACTCGATTGCATTTGTTATTATTTTGCAGTGTGCCATCTCGCATACATGGAGGACTGCCATCTACATGTACATATGTTTTTGTGACATGGTGCAGCCTGCCAGGACAATAAGGCTCATGGACCATAGATTTGATGACAAGGTACCACCAATTGTACCTTAAGACATTTTGGCTCTGCATATACATCATCCCCGTTGATGATATATATTCATTTATACGTTTCAAAGCGACATAAATATTTAAGGGTTTTTAGCTGCAATAAACAATCTTATCGATCTATCCATGTTTTAACTAATCTCGTCGACATAGTTTGATGCACTACAGCTTATTATTTTTCCGGATAGCTAATCTTCGAACCACTCTTTTTTGGGGTGCATGATCGAGCATGCTTGCTGAAAAACCAGTCAATCTGCTTCAGTTTCAAAGTCGCTCTGCTGAAGGTAATAATCTGAGCATCGTTAGTTTCGTGGTTGCATGGTTATTATTTTCAGCAGCCATATCGTTATTATTTTCAGCTAGAATGATGTCTTTGGTTTCTGTATGGTTCAGAGGGTCGCTATCAAATGTTTGCTACCCTGACTACGTACCTCTTCCAATGCCATATTCCCCCCTATTTAGTCATATATATCCAGACAAAGACTATTCTCATAATCATTGTGCAAAACATTACCAATTTTAGGTGTTAGCTATAAAGGCGCATTTAAAATTGGAAATGAACAAACATTTTAACATTACCTCCGTATTCAAAGATGCAGACGGTCAGATCAAAGCACCTTTGTGTTCCTTCTTTCTATCTGATTGACACAAATACAGGCTAAGATTATTATGACTCCTACCCATGTTTCAACATAAGCATTATTTCTTAGCTTGTGTTGAGAAAAATTATGAGCTTATCGATTTGAGGTTGTGCATTGTCTTGTTAGTTTTGGTGTCTCCTACTTGGTTTTCAGAGAAAAAAAAGGCTTCTTTCGTGGCCTAATCTGGGCGCTGAGCATTGGAGGTGACAAAAAATAGATGTTTTAGTCGATAAAGATCTATGGTAACGTAGCACCATTTGTGTCCCTTCTTTCTATCTGATTGAGACAAATACAGGCAGAGATTATTATGACTCTTACCGATGTTTCAACATAAGCACTATTTCTTAGCTTGTGTTGACAAAAATTATGAGCTTATCGATTTGAAGTTGTGCATTGTCTTATTAGTTTTGGTGTCTCCTACTTGGTTTTCAAAGAAAAGAAAAAAGCTTCTTTCTCGGCCTAATTTGGGCGCTGGCCATTGCAGGCCACAAAAACTAGAAGTTTTAGTCAATAAAGATCTATGATAATGTTTGTCGCTACTGGCCCTGATGATCGGTGCGGTTATCTAAATTTCTGCTCATTCTCTCTGTTTCTTGAGGGACATTTACTTGCTTAATTGAATTTTCAATATTCATGTCACTTCTGTTTCATGATTTTTGTTGGAAAATAAAATAACATGGTCATGTCCTATCTTTTAATACATTGCCCACTCAATTTGTAGCTCCATAAAGTGTTAATCAATATCTTTGGAATATGTGTTGGTACCGCATGTTCTTCACTTCTTTCAGTTACTGTCGGAGTAGCACTACATGTTTAGCAAAATCAAATAAGTTGTCGCTTATTTAGTTTGGATTTTTGCTACAGAGCATATTGACCACGGTCTACATTAGTTTACAATAGGGTCTAAGTAGTGATATGTATCTGCCTTCTGATCCTACAACAATGTGGATAATAATGGCATTGCCTCCAGGAAGTAATTTAGATAAACAAGTAATAGTAGATAATCATCCATATCTTCTTTTTGTTGGTTGCATGGTCAATTAGCCCAAATATATTATGCAAGGGTTCTAGATGTTCAGCCAATGATCTGTGCCTGATTTCTAAAGCTGGAATAAGATGGATAACAAGGACACTGCCTTAGTAGAGTATGGTAATACTAATCAAGCATATGTTCCTTCTATTGATTTCATGCCCGCTTATCCTACTATTATATTATGCTAGGGTTTGGATGCTCATGGGCCCACATATGTAGACAATAAAGCAGATGTGGTGTTCTGGGTTGGCTTTCCTCGGTAAGCTATCCTATTTAGTGTTTTCCTCGCTATTTAGTTAAATCTGTGTGCAAAATGATATGTTTGGCCTAATGATTAGTGTTCATGCTACATTATGAAAGAATAAAGCAAATATCTATGATTACAGGTTCCTCCACCAAGTGCACAAATCCTTGACATATAAGGATGCCAAGAGTTCATAAACACTGACAAAAATAAAGAGGCCAACACCTGCATCTTAGAACTCAGGAAAAAAAACTGTCACTATGTTATACCACACTGTGCTTACATAATCTATGATCCCAGTAATACTACATGCTTGTATGTAAAATTGTATATAATAATGTATTATGTATCTAGCTTCATAACTTATCTTTTGACATGTCCACGTACCACGTCCCAGTAAAAATTATCTATTGCTGGCCCACGTACCACCTATGAAACTTATCTATTGCTGGCCCATGTAAAAACCCCACCCACCGCAGCAACGGCGGGCCCTCGCCTCCCTGTCCCCGAGTCCCAGGAGGGGGTACCGGCGACGAGGATGAGCGGCGGCGGAGCCGGAGGGAAGGGGGCTATGGTGGCGGCGGCGCCCGTCCCGGCCAGGTCCAGGAAGCTGGTGCAGGGCCTCAAGGAGATCGCGAACCTTACGGAGGCGGAGATCTACGCTGCACCGCGCGAGTGCGGCATGGACGCCGACGAGGCGGTCAACCGCCTCGTCTCCCAAGGTCCGGGCATGGCTTGCGCTGTCCTCTGCCCACTCCCCACTCCCACGATTCCGTGCCTGTTTAGCTGTTCGTTGTAGGGCGCGTTGCTAGGGTTTGCACGGGTCTTATACCAGCGGGCTCTCGTCGATCTGGGCGATTCGTCGACGTGAAGGTTGTAGTCTGAGCGCGCGGCCCGATTAGTGGGAATCGGATGCACCTGTATTGTTTCGTTTCCCCCTTTGGGGCCCTCGAGTTCATACTCGGTTTAGTTATCTTTGAGTCGGTATTATCACATAGTAGTCTTAGATGTTGAAGTCTTTGTAGTATTAGATGTAGGAGCTGTGAGTGGTGTTACAAATGTCCACTATTCATTTAGGGTTTCTAGATTTCCTGCAAATGCTATTAGTGGTAAGGATTAGCGACTAAGGAGTTTCCTATTTTGGAATATCACGCAACTGCGCAGGTAGATTATCTTTTCTCTCTACTATTCGGTGGTTGGTTCCTCTGTCTGTGTTGTGATGCCAGCCAATCATTTCAATAACTTTCAGAGTTCTTTATAGTTGTCGCTTCTGGGAGGATTTGCTTTTCTCTAATGGGATGTGACGATAGCGTGGACAATGTCTGGACACTGGAAGGTTGGGAGAAAGTACACAAGCGTGCTGAATTAGACTGGACCTCTTAGTGTTTCAATGCAGGAGGCAAACTGAAATTGGTTAAGTGGATAGATTTGTGTTTTGTACTAGTTATAGGAGTAGGACTTAGGAACCAGATTTGGAGAGCATGGTTGCGGTAGGCTTAGATAGTTTGTTGGGAAAGAAAACCCGTGGTACTTTTAGCTACCGGGTTTGGAAAGAGGGGAGCGTTTAGACTGGGATATGATGTTTGAACTCTTGCTCTTTTATATTCGGTCTCCTGTCCGCTAGTCATAAAATTTTGAGGAAGGTGTTTATGTACTGGATTCACCCATGATAGGATTTATTGAACATGTACATCAGATCACTGGTTGTCTTGTCTTTTTTCTTAGTTTAATCTTTTTGTGTTTAAGAACAACTTTTGCTGGCTTTGCTTATTATGGTATTTTCCTTTTGGCATTGCAATTCCTGGTTATAACTTTGAACGCACCACAACTTGCTTGGGTTTTCGTCCTGCCTACACATTTGCTGTAGGATGAGTTTGATCTCGAATCATCTGTTCTCTACATTTTAGTATTGGTACTGTAGCTTAACTTCTCAGTACTCTAGACCTATATATACATTAATTACATATGCTTGTCATGGAATGAAATCTGTCTACTTACCAGACGTGCTCAAGAATGTTTGCTTTGGATTTATGGATATGTTCTGGCTTGCTGAGCTCATGGCTTTGCTGGCAATGTAAGTAGTTGTCCAGATATCACCTGATCTTGCATTATGTACATGTGCTTGTTATCTATCATCCGGCCTCCAGTTTTCCTTTTATTGGTCTGCAACTTGCATTATGTACACTAGAAGAATACCCCGCGCGTTGTTATGGGAATTGCAGATTAGTGGATTGTGTGACATGATGACATGGACAACAAAATACTTATGTGTCTTGCTGACGTGGACATTACAATTGCATGGGCTAGTGGATTTTAATTGTGTGTGATAGTGGATTGCCTAGTTGGACAGCTTGAATGTTGAGACAAATAGGTAGTGGGGTTTTGCTTTATAAGAGTATAAGATAAGATAAGATAAGATTTGGTAGTGGCACCAATATTGATTTGTTATGTTGATGGGCCGAGCACATCTATAAATGTTGATAACTCATCACTGCATATACTCTTTTCAGATACTTTCCAAGAGGTAAAGAGCAAGCGCGACAAGAAGAAAGAGGTCAGAACTGATTTTTTAAAAAACTTTATAATGTGCCCTATCATCTTGAATATACAATCCATTTGATAATAACCATTTGCCAGCTTTTATTTACCTTGTTCATAAATTGGTAACCAACCTTCTTCTTGCACTATTTAGTTTCATTGGGTGAATGATACTGATAATGAATCTGTATGCACTACTGATACTTTTTTCTACCATGTGTGATTCCTTGCACTAGAAGTTAGCATATTCAACTATAGTTTTGGTTATTGTTTGAAAAGTGCTCTATTCTTGGTTGAGCTCTAGAACTGACAACTAGAGTTGTGGGCATTGAATAAGCAGATTGAAGAGGTTCCTGAGACAAGATATCGATCGGCAAATAGTTCTACTAGTCGAGGCTTTAGAAGTGGTGCAGATCGTGGTGGATGGAGCAATTCTGTGCACTCCAGCTCTACTGGTAAATAGAATGTGTGCCATTTTTAACCTCAAGATTGTTTTTTTGGCCCATTATTTCGTCTGACCCAATCTTCATTTCATTCCAAAAATTAGGTAACATGACCTCAAGGCCACCAGTCTCAGGGTCTGGTACGGCATCAGTTAATTCCAGTCAGAGGCAAACAATTGCAAGGTAAAGGGACAAAAGGACCCTTCTGTGATCCATTCAAAGGACCGGTGCTGTTTGTTTATATACTTTTTTTGTTTACTTTAAGTGATTTTCTGTTTTCCTTCAAATAATTTTATTGTGGCTCGTGATGTCTATTTTTTGTGTTACCGCCGGTGCTTTTGTCATGCTGAGTAAACATCCAAGGATAACAAGAATTAGTGGTGTTAATTTCTTAGGTTTACTATTGTTCTCTAGGTAGTTCATTTCATTTACTTCATGACATTCTAGTTTTTGCAAAAAAGATCATTTGCAATATTGTAGGTGTTCAGAATCAACAGAATGATCTCCAAATGTTTGAATGATGCCCATCTCTATAAAATAGAGAATTATTCTCAACAACAACAATAACAACAACAACAACAACAACAACATAGCCTTTCAGTCCCAAGCAAGTTGGGGAAGGCTAGAGTTAAAACCCACCAAGAACCCCAAGTCACGGTTCAGGCACTTCAATAGCTGCTTTAGAATTATTCTCAACTGTCAATATTTTTAGATCATTTAGTTTTTATTATTACATTTTGCTGATTGCAGATGTTAATATTCTCCCTTGTATTCTGCAGTTCCTCTGCAAACAAACATATGGTTACTGATGGACCAGTATCATTGCAATCATCGTCTGGGTTTCAGCATGGTGGTTGGTCTGGGATACCTGGTCAGTTGTCGATGGCTGACATTGTGAAAATGGGTCGGCCTCAGGGCAAGGCTTCTAGCAAACCTGTGGTCACAGCTGACAGAGGTTATGCTGGACAGTACCCATCTTTGCCAAACACAAACCAGAACCTGAAACAATCTGTAAGCATGGTTCCCCCAACAGAGCTTGACAAGGGGTTACAACCTGCCCAAGATTCGGTTCAGGTTAAGAATCATGGTCATTCTGCTGCTGACAGCAAGCTCCCATATGGTACTGATTGGTCTCCGCAAGACGACCCAACATCCCTTCCTGAGACATCTGGTGATCCGTCCTTGTATGAAGCATCGTTTCAGTCATCTACATTGGTTACTGATGTAGTTAATTCACATGAAAATTCACACTTGGATGAAAACAGCACCTTTGCAATGAGACCAGCACCTGCCTCTGAGAGACACTTGGAACCTAGTGATGGTATTTCTGAATACAATGATGGAATGTTGAACAACTCAAGTTCCTATCAGCCTCATAATTACTCTTACACAGAACAAGAAGGTAAGTGTAGAACTAATGGGAATCTGCTAGCTGTTGGTTAACCATTTTAGAGGTTGATGATTTTTTCTATAAACATCAATTTATTTAATTTTCCATATATTAGCTATGGAATAAGCACCAAAGTAACATCTTAGGTAGTTGTCAGTCTTAATCAGAATCATGGAAGAAGTGGTCTAAATTGTAATTATCTGCTTGAGTCTAGTTGGGTAATGTAAACTGTTTTTTTTACCATGTATTATGTAGTTCTGCCTGTATATTTCACTCTTTGCAGACTGTATCTGTGCCATAGATGTAAACATAATCAGGAAGGTACTGGGACAAATATAAGCACCTAAAAGCATTACTTTATCCAAACTATGGGATCAAATGCTGCTAGTATTTGTTAAGTAATAGATACTGTAGTTAACACAGATTTAAAGAACAAATATAGACATTATATTGTTTTGTCTTCAACAATAAACTATGGACTGTCATATTATTCTTTGCTTTCCATAAGAAAGGGAGAGTTATTTTGCTTCTAGTGTTGTTGGGCTTGTCAAATTATTCATCCAGCTTACCACCGTATGCATCGCTTCACTTTGGATATTTATGAATCATGTTGCATTCTGATAGCTTGGTCTTGTTTTTTAATTTTGTACAAAATTGTTGGCATGGTTCACAATGAGTTCTGATTCCTTTTGTAATTGTTGTTTATATATGTTTATTATCTTCAGTTGAGGATTCCAGTGCTGATGTATCAGCAGCAGCAGCAAACTTCTAGAGTTTAAGCCTACATAATGACGAAGTTAGCTGCAAAAAGACTGCAAGATAACCCTGCAGTGATAATTCCTGATCATTTGCAAGTTACGAAAACAGAATGTGTCAGTTTGAGCTTTGGCAGTTTTGGATCTGGTGCGTTTTCTGGGCTACTCCCACGAAAGGCCACGGATAGAAATGTGGAATTCCCTGCTCGAGAGGAATCTGCACCAGTAGATCAAATAGATGCCAGGTGAAGCATTTTACTGCTGTTTTTTGTGGCATTTTCCTTACCCCTTCGCGTCGGGAATGTTGACACTGTGGAATAGTCTGTTGCAGGAATCAAGATTACTATGAAAGTGATGCAGTAACTTCGCAAGCAGACAAAAATCTTGAGGCCATGCTGGGAGCCAACATGGAGAATGTCGATGCGCCTTCTGTTTCACAGGCTAATGAGCTCAGGCAGGACGTACTTGATCCTTCTGGACTTCAATATGATGTGCCATCAGTTTCAAGTCATGCTTATTCAAACACGAACGCTTCACAGCCTAGCACAATGGAGGATCCACAAGGAAACAACCAAGCACATACTCTTTCCCATTTGTCAAACTTGATGGTATGCTGACTCTTCTTTCTGTATTTTTTCCACACATCCTTGGTAACTGATATTTCGTTTCCCTCAATATTTGTGCCCTATCATCTTGAATATACAATCCTTTTGATAGTAACCATGTGCCAGCTTTTATTTACCTTGTTCATAAATTGGTAACCAACCTTCTTCTTGCACCATTTAGTTTCAGGTGAATAATACTGATAATCTGTATGCACTACTGATTCTTTTTTCTACCATGTGTGATTCCTTGGATGAGAAGTTAGCATATTCAACTACAGTTTTGGTTATTGTTTGAAAAGTGACCTCTAGAACTGACAACTAGAGTTGTGGGCATTTAATAAGCAGATTAAAGAGGTTCCTGAGACAAGATATCGATCAGAAAATAGTTCTACTAATCGAGGCCTTAGAAGTGGTGCAGATCGTGGTGGATAGAGCAATTCTGTGCACTCTAGCTCTACTGGTAAATAGAATATGTGCCATTTTTACCCTCAAGCTTATTTTCTGGCCCATTATTTCTTCTGACCCAATCTTTATTTCATTCCAAAAATTAGATAACATGACCTCAAGGCCACCAGTCTCAGGGTCTGGTATGACATCAGTTAATTCCAGTTAGAGGCAAACAATTGCAAGGTAAAGGGATAAAAGGACCCTTCTGTGATCCATTCAAAGGATCTGTGCTGTTTGTTTATGATTTTTTTTGTCGGTACAGTTAGTCAGTTATGTTTACTTTATGTGATTCTCTGTTTCCTTCAAATAATTTGATGTCTATTTTTTTTTTTGTTACCGCTCGTGCTTTTGCCATGTTGAGTAAATATCTAAAGAGACAGCAAGAATCCTTGGTGTTAGTTTCTTAGGTTTACTATTGGTTTTTAGGTAGACAGACTTGAATTAATTAGAGTGGTTTTACCAGCAATTGACATAGTGCTACCTTTTCATACATCCAATTTCTTCCTATTTTTTTTTCTTTGAGCAGACCCTAATCCACTCCATAAAATCTAGTGGAGCTCACCCTTTGGCTAGTCTATTCATTAGAGGCTCAACCCTTGGCTAGTCCCCTGAAGGTTTTAACATGTCAATATTCCTACTTTCTGGACAAGGCATAGACTAGACTTTCTTCACTACATGGTGATTTTGCTTTATGTTTTTTGTTTTGAGATGGTTCCTTTTTTAATTGTGTGTGATCGTAGTTCAGCACACCAAGTGAAAAAAATAATATGGGATCACAGTAGAACTATATTGTTTAACCATATATGTTTTCAAGAAATCACCCAAGGGAACATGGAGGTGGGAAAGCTCTCCGAAAAAGCATGTGAAACGATACGTCGTGTAAAAAATCAAGATATTCAATATCTTTAGTTGGGTCATGTATTAAATTTTTATACTCCGTCTTTGATATTCGAGACGGAAAAACAAATAAAAAATAGTTGTAACTTTGCTTAATATATAAAAAGAATTAAACAAAATAAATGAACACAATATTACCTTCAATATACGCTTTCAAAAATTTTCATTTTTCACTTTAACTTTTGCCCCTAACACTTGATTGTGCCAAAAGCTATGCAACCTTTTAACATCATCCCATTTATATCGAATTTGAGACTTGGTGCATTGCATTCCTTCTTTCGAGAGCCTCTGACGTATCGTTTCACATGTTTTTTTGGAGAGCTTTCCCACCTCCATGTTCCTTGAGTGATTTCTTGGAAACATATATGGTTAAACAATGTAGTTCTACTATGATCTCATATTATTTTTTTCACTTGGTGTGCTGAACTGCAATCACACACTAGATTCATAATTAGAAAAAAGAATCATTTCAAAACCAAAAACATAGAGCAGCATCATTATGAAGTAGTGAAGAAAGTCTGGTCTATGCCTTGTCCATAAAGTAGGAATATTGACATGTTAGAATCTTCAGGGGACTAGCCAAGGGTTGGGCCTCTAATGAAGAGACTGGCCCAAGGGGTGACCTCCACTAAATTTTATGGAGTGGATTGGGGTCTGCTCAAAGAAAAGAAATTGGATGTATGGAAAGGTAGCACTATGTCAATCGCTGGTAGGACCACTCTAATTAATTCAAGTTTGTCTACCTAAAGAAGAATAGTAAACCTAAGAAACTAACAATAAGGATTCTTGCTGTCTTTAGATATTTACTCAACATGGCAAAAGCACCAGCGGTAACAAAAAAAAAATAGACATTAAATTATTTGAAGGAAAATAGAAAATCGCTTATTGGTGTCAACAAACAAGTTTGTACCATGTGCACAAGTTGTGTGAAATACATCTTTCTTTCTTTTTTTTTGGCATCACCCAAACTGCAAATATTAGCTTAATGACTGATATGATGAACCTTCACAAGGACAGTGCAGTGTTGGTGGTGGCTTTTGCTTGGATTATTAGGTCCTTGCGCTCGCTGTGTTGCAGACGTACATAGAGGCATGGAGCGCCTGAACGCGGTCCTGGGTCGGCGTTGCCGTTGGGTAATTCCATGGCATGCCGATCTCGAGGCAGGGCGTGGGGGTGATGGCATCCTCGGGGTCGGGCTGCGGCGGCAGTAGCGATGACAGCGGCGGTTGCCCTGGCTGGCACCATGAGCCGTCTTGGGGGCCGTCTGGGTCAAAGGGCAATCCCGATCCGATCCCGAGCGGCAGGGTGGTCTGGCGAGTCACGACCAGGGGTAGGGCACATCGACGTCGAGCGAGCATGCATGTCGTTGAGCAAAGGCCAGTTGGCACCGCTCTTTGGCATTTTCGACACATTATGCATGCGAAGGCGCTCTCATCTAAAGGTCAAGGTAGTCAAGGATTACCCACCTCTTTATCTTTGTGCTAATATATAATATGAAGGAGCAAACAACCACGGGGGAAGGGGAAGGAAGCTGCGGCATGGTGAGATATGATATATGAGTATATGACACGGACCCGTCCAGCCTCGCGCACGACCGACCGCACGCGTGCACTAGCTACACACCGACCGAAAGGCAGACAAAATTAAGGCACGCACTACACGGGTCTTGGAAAGGAGAAATCTGTGTTTTAACATGAGATGCACGGATGATCCCGGAGGCCCAGCCGACGGTGACCCCCGGCGGGTGTGGACCCGAGGCGGTCAGGTATCTGCCAACAAAAAAACTGAAGGATCCAGGATTCGTCAGCCGTGCAGGCAGTCACGTTATGTGCTTATTAGCATATTTTTTTTATGTTATATGCTGGTAGTACTAGTATATGTTATGAAACCAACACATACATGACAACTCTATTGCACATGTTATTCCAAAAAATTGTCTCATCGTTTGTGTTCTTGAGAATAACTTGTGTGCTTCTAGAAGAGGTGATCGAGTAGTTCATATATGTGCCCTTCAAAGACATCTTATGATGAGGTCTCGTAGATCCATGTTCCTTTGGTCCTACTACACTCAGAAACTATGGAGCGAGCTAGCGGATCGGAGGTCATTTCAGGTTTCAATCATTAAATTAACTAGAGCCATCAGGATTTGAAGGCAAAGAGGTCATTTTAACCAAATACCGCTAGCTGCTTAAGGAAAACAGCTTATGTTTACTTGTCAAGTGTTTATTTTTTTTTTTGAACTTTTGTCAAGTGTTTATTAACAAAGAGCCAAATGAATTCTGTATAACAAGTACACGACCGTGTGAAAGGCCGTCATCAGATATATAGTGAACAGAGGAAAAGCTAGCAGAGTTTATATCAAAAAAAAAAAAAAACTGAACAGTCAGGCATATGCTAACAAGCATCGAGCAGAGTTTTACCCTTCGACGCTATAGTCCATCATCCTTTAAGCGACCTCTAATTAAACAATTACAATTGCATACTTTGAATAAATAAATAAGCATGTGTGAACTAGGTGATTATGTCACGAAGGTACTACTATATATTGTGTATCTGTTAATAAGTAATTGTAAGTAAAAATGAAGATTTTTTTTTGATAATGTGATGCAATATTATTTTTTCCCCTCAGTTTGGACGATTCCGCCAGCATAACACGTAGGGCCCAGGCATGAATGAGTGTATGTCAAGGTGAGCGGCACCCAAGGAAGAATCATGAATATGAGGAAAACCATGTGTACGGCTCCCTTGTTTTTTAATCATATAATCAGTCAAGGCAATGCAAACTTTTTTTTTAACCGAATCAGCAGGAAGCTCCCTACCTATTTTTTTTCTCTTTTACAATTAAATGAACGAATACATAGTACAATAAACCGAGATACAAGGCAGCTAGGCCCAAATGAAAAAGGGAAAATACATCGTATATAAATGTCTCCACAAATTGATCGAGTTGGAGTTGTCTTGCAAAAGGATAAGTTTTATATATTTATGTTGATAGACCACAATTACGATACTCTACGATATGTTTTATGGCAACGAAGAGAGCTAAAACCTATCGATCAATTCCCAACGATCAACCTTTGATGACCTACGCCCTGTCTTCATACTCTCACACTAGTGTTTGAGTAGTGATCAATCCATGCTAGTGCGGGCAAGAGGCATTCGCAGGCAGCGCCACTTCGGCGCCTATTGGTTACTTCTTCATTTTATTTTTTAAAAATAATAGTCGCTCTAAATTTTTAAATTTGCTCTACAGTGGATAATAGATGGTATTCTGCGTCGAACAAAAGAAACCTCGCTTGATTAAGGCTCCAAACGGATAAGTTTTGTACATTTAGGTTGATGGACCACAATTTCAGTACTCTACGACGTGTTTCATGGCAACGAAGAGAGCTGAGACCTATCAATCAATTCCCAACGATCAACCTATGATGACCTACACCATGTCTTCATGCTCACACATGTTGGCGGTCCTTAACTCCAACTTTTAACCGCCAACACTCGAATAAAAACCACTCAAATGAACACCAAAATTAGTGACAGGGATTATAACTAATGAATTTCACGAGTTTTGGTGATTTACCATTTGCAGGAGGGCATTTATGGAAATACACATAAAAGGCTAAAGAACATAGGAGAAATATCATTGTACTCAAGCCTGAAGGAAAGAGGCCCAATCATCAGGCAAATCAGGGCCCAAAACATGAGGAGAATAAGACCAAAACCCAACACAAATTATCTCAACTTCGCGCAAAACCCACAAAGACGCAGCCTAGGCCCAGTAGGTGACCCACCAAAGCAAGGCGGTCACGGGGCGGCGTTACCAGGGTGCGGCCGCACCCCCAGCTCCACTGCCTCCAGCGCGCCTGCACGTGGGCCCTCTTATTAATGCCCCAAGGCGGTTGCATGCGGTATCCCCTGAATATTCCCACTGGAACCGCCTATGGAGCACTATATAAGAAGCCTCCCCCTCCATTCAACACAACGACACACCAAGGATCAAGAGCACCACATTTGAGCACCATTCCAAGGGCTTAGGCCCTAGATAGCTAGTAGACTTGGTTAGGGAGAGATGTGATGGAGAGCACGGGGAAGCGTCGGGTTTGTCGGTGTCTCCTTGAACTTGTATCTCGACGAACACTAGTGCCTCAACCGAGCTTTCCGCTAAGTGAGTGTCCGTGGTTCTTATGGTTACAAGTCTTTTGATTAGTCAATCTTTACTCTTACTTGTTTGTGGGTTCGTCGTCCGTTCTTATAACGGATACTCTAGTAGAGGGTCCTGATAAAGACAGATAACCCTGCGCAACGCTAGAGTAGTAGTCGATAGCGTAGACGTGGTGTCTTGGCTAGAGGCTACTTTTGTTTGCCTCGTGTTCCACGGTTGAGGGCTAGACGGCAGGTGGTGACAGCCATATCCGTCCCTTATAATCCCCAACGTTCGGGTTTGATGTAGAGCTACAGGCTGGCCTCGATCGCCTGGCAGACCATGTGTGATCCGGTGCCCGAAGTAATTAAGTAAAAGTGGAGTTTATCTGTCCTTAGATCCGAAAGCCATAGGAATCCATCTCTACCCTTGCTAACTCTACCCTTGTATTGTCCTTGGACGAATTAGCTAGAAGAAGTACATCCGTTCCCTGATGAAAATACGATACCTGAATACTTTCGGGTGAAATGCTAAAAATTTAGAGCGGCTATTATTTGTTTAAAAATAAAATGAAGACACAAAAGTCGACAAAAGTAACACTTGGGCGCCGAAGTAGCACCACCCGCAAACGGCTCTTGCCCACACTAGCATTGATCAATCACTGCTCAAACACTAGTGCGAGAGCATGAAGACATGGTGTAGGTCGTCATAGGTTGATCGTTTGGAATTGATCGATAGGTTTCAGCTCTCTTTGTTGCCATGAAACACGTCGTAGAGTACTAAAATTGTGGTTCATCATCCTAAATGTACAAAACTATCTGTTTGCAGCCCAAATCAAGCACGGGGTTTTTTGTTTGACGTAGAATGTCATCCAATGTAGAGCAAATTTAAAAATTTAGTGTGACTATTATTTTTTTTAAAATAAAATAAAGACACAAAAGTCGACAGGAAGTAACCACTGGGTGTCTAAGTAGGGCCGCCCGTGAACGGCTTTTGCCCGCACTAGCATGAATCGATCACAACTCAAACACTAGTGCGAGAGCATGAGGACACAGTGTAGGTCATCATAGATTGATCGATGGGAATTGATCGATAGGTTCTAGCTCTCTTCGTTGCCATGAAACATGTCATAAAGTACCGAAATTGTGGTCCATCACCTTAAATATACAAAACTTATCCATTTGGACCCCAAATTGAGCGCGGTTTTTTTTGTTTGACGCAAAATTCCATCTGTTATCCAATGTAGGGCGAATTTAAAAATTTAGAGAGACTATTATTTAAAAATAAAATAAAATTAAGATACAAAAGTCGACATGAAGTAACCCTTGGGCGCTAAAGTAGCGCTGCCAATGAACGGCTCTTGCCCGCACTAGCATGGATCGATTACTGCTCAAACACTAGTGCGAGAGCATGAAGACCCGGTGTAGGTCATCATAGGTTGATCATTGGGAATAGATCGATAGGTTTTAGCTCTCTTCATTGCCATGAAACACGTCATAGAGTACCGAAATTGTGGCCCATCATCCTAGATGTACAAAACTTATCCGTTTAGAATCCGAATCGAGCGCGTTTTTTGTTTGATGCAGAATGACATCTGTTATCCAATGCAGAGTGAAATTAAAAATTTAGAGCGACTATTATTTTTTTTAAAATAAAATTAAGACACAAAAGTCGACAGAAAGTAACACTTGGGCGTCGAAGTAGCGTTGCCCGCAAACGGCTCTTGCCCGCACTAGCCTGGATCGATCACTGCTCAAACACTGTGCGAGAGCATAAGGACACCGTGTAGGTCATCATAGGTTAATCGTTGGGAATTGATCGATAGGTTTCAGCTCTCGTCGTTGCCATGAAACACGTCGTAGAGTACCGAAATTGTGGTACATCACCCTAAATGTACAAAACTTATCCATTTGGACCCCGGATCGAGCGCGGTTTTTTTTTTGATGCAGAATTCCATCTGTTATCCAATGTAGGGCGAATTTAAAAATTTAGAGCGACTGTTATTTGTTTAAAAATAAAATGAAGACACAAAAATCGACAGAAAGTAACCCTTAGGCGTCGAAGTAGCGCTGCCCACAAACAACTCTTGCCCGCACTAGCATGGATCGATCACTGCTCAAACACTAGTGCGAGAGCATGAAGACACGGTATAGATCATCATAGGTTAATCATTGGGAATTGATCGATAGGTTTCAGCTATCTTCGTTGCCATGAAACACGTCGTAGAGTACCGAAATTGTGGTCATCACCCTAAATGTACAAAATTTATTCGTTTGGAGCCCGAATCGAGCGCGGTTTTTTTGTTTGACGTAGAATGGCATCTGTTATCCAATGCAGAGTGAAATTAAAATTTTAGAGCGACTATTATTTAAAAAAATAAAATTAAGACACAAAAGTCGACAAGAAGTAACACTTGGGCGCCGAAGTAGCGTCGCCCGCAAACGGCTCTTGCCCGCACTAGCATGGATCGATGGGGATTAGAGGGCTCTATTTGAATTAGAATTAGAATTCCTAGCTATCGAGGATTGGAGGTATCCATTTAGATTAGAATTCCTAACAATTCAGGTTACCTAAAGAAGTCTTGCATATATAATAATATATAAAAAAGGAAACGGTTGTAAATAGAAAGACACACAATTTCCACATCCACCAAGTTTGTAATGAGAGGTGGACAAAAAAGGGATAAAATTTTGGCTCTTTAATATTACGTATAGAGTTCATACTCATATGTGACTTGAGCTTGTTAAACTCTTGTCTAGCGATGATACGGAGTTTGATTCTAACATGTATTGTGTTTTGTTGCAACGTACGAGTATATTTTCTTGTTGTTAGAACATAATATAAGCTTAAATATTATGAAAAAAATCTTAAAATCCGATCAGAATTATAAAGTATTTTGAAAATCTTGTTTAGTAGTTTAGAAATACATGAAACTAGTTTCAACTTACCTCACCGAGCATGTTTATTACTCCTGCGGCTGCAGGTGGGCCCACTTCTGTCGGAGCTCGGAAACGAATCGAGCCAGGGCCCACTTCAATCGCTCGGAAACGAGATGGCTCCGGGGAAGCGAGGCAAGGCCAAAGGGGCGGCGCCGCCGCCGGCGACGCCCGCCGCAACCGCGACTGCCGGAGCTGGAGGGTTCCCGGGCTGCCTCCGCCTGATGCCGCCGTCGACCGTGGCCATATCCATCCACGCCAAGCCCGGCTCCAAGGTCGCTACCATCACAGGTTCGGTCTGTCTGCCCCCTTCTAGAGCATCCATCTCGGCTGTTACGGCCTCACGGGGGATCTGTCCCTCTACCTCCTTGCTCAAACGATGACGCGCGTGTGTGGGGGGTTCTGCAGAGATCGGGGACGAGGCGGTGGGCGTGCAGATCGACGCGCCGGCGAGGGATGGCGAGGCCAACGCCGCGCTTGTCGACTTTATCAGCTCGGTGAGTCGTTCATTCATCGCAGTTACAAAAACATTTGGTCAATACGAATTGACTTCGATTCCGATAGTGTCTTTGCTACAGTACATCTTGAATACTCGCTAGTCTGGTTTCATAAACTTTGGATGAAAGCTAATAAAAATTACCCAGCGCTGATGAATAAACCAATTTGTCTAAAGCGCTGGGAGTAGCAATTTAAACAGTTCCAGATCTAACTCCCATAAAATTTAAGAAACCTGGCCTGGAAATTTCAAAAGCAAAGCTGGGACACAGAAATCTGGCTTGACTGATTTCCTGATGCTGTTCAGTGGCAGGAACCAATCTATGTCTTTAATTTACATTGGTGATTTTAGAGCACCAAAGTAACTGGTTTACTTTGGTGCTTGATTTTGCAGTAGTTATTGCAATGATGTGTAAAACTTGAACTACGCTTGATTTTTGAGCACGGAAAACTCCAGTTTGCTCCACTGCCACCAACGGAATGTCGAATTGTTCTTTTGGCTTATTAGAAGCATGTTGACAAGGAAAATTTGTCTAGCGAAGTGTTTGGATCATTGCTGGTCTAAAGTCTCTTTTTTGGGTCTGCAACTCTGCTTGAAGTGCAGTCAATTATTCTGCAGAGGAGCTGCTATCATATTTGTTTCGATAAACTGAGACGTAATTTGTGTAAAGAGAATCAAGTTAGATGCGCGTTAACAACATAGATTAGGTGTTTCTTTTGTAAAGCAAAAAAGTTTGGTTGGTGTAACAGTAGCACAATAAAGCATTTGACTGCCTTATCTTTTTTTTTTTCTAGCACGGGGTTGGATCCGAACTCTAACTGTAGTATATAGCGCTGGGAGTGACTTAGACAGTTCAGATCAAACTTCCAGGCTAACGTATTCTGTAAGAGTAGCAGCTAAAACTATGCTGCTTTAGCTTTTACCAGATAATCATGTGAATAATCCTGATCAAGTAATCTGATCTTATTAGTTTCACTGTCAGAGTTCAATTCAAGAGGATAAAAACTGAGCTAGACTGGGTTGCACTCTTAGGTCCTATCGAGCTTTATTTCCTCTATACAATGTTGATATGGTTATGAACTAGGAGTCTAGGATAATCGAAATGGATGTTGTCAACTCTGTAAGTCACTCATCTGACATTTCCTTTCTCCGTCCTATCGTAATAATTTCTGTAAATCTCCATGAAATATGCAGGTACTTGGGGTGAAGAAAAGAGAAGTGTCTATAGGCTCTGGTTCTAAATCGAGGGAAAAGGTTGTACTAGTACAAGATGCGACTCTTGAAGGTGTCTACGATGCTTTGAAGAAGTCTTGTAATTGTGCATGAGGTATGTATGCTAAGCCTGGAATTACTTGAATGGGCATCAGTGTGTTTCTGATTAACATATTTGCCCTGTTAGTGACCTTCCTAGTATAGTACCTCCTAGTGATCCTGTTCCAGCTTGCAAACAGAAGTTTGAAAAATGAAGTGACTGGCTAAAGATGAGGCTGAACTGCTTGTTCTCTTTGTTAAGTTGTCATAATGCATATGTGTCACTGGGATGATGGTGTAGGGAATGCAAGTGCACCAAACATTACTAAACTTTGGTTTGTATGGCTATTGCACCCGTGTGGTGTGATCCTTGGTTTTGAACTGTAACCGTGTCATCTCTAAGCCTTTTGGGCCACATGGCTGGGCTGGCCTTTTGTGCTGTATTCCAGGGTTACCTGGCCAGATTCTACCAGCCTTGACAACTTGTTGCGCTCTCTCAATTTTTGTTAGACATTCAATTCAACGAGAGTCGAGAGGGCGTGGGCGAGATGATCACTGTTTCCATCTTGATCCTAGCACAAATTGTTTTAAATTTTTGGTTAAACGCCTTGGACCTGCGGACCAGTTGCGGCGACACGTACGTGCTGGCACGTAGTTTGACTGTAAGCTGGTCCAAACGTGGCTGCAACATTTACGTACGTGAGCCGCTTCACAAACTTTTTGACGATCGGCTCGATGCAAATGCAGGTGCCATTTGCCGCTAGTATATATGCGGAGTATGCAAGAAAAGTTGGTGTAAACAATGAGAGGCTACAAAGCAAGGAAAAAGCTAGCAAAGCCTCAGGGGATGAAAACGGTCAGAAGATGTCTAAGCTGTTGCTGTTTCATTTGTTTCCACGGCAACGAATACGGCAACTGTGTATCGGGTGGATAAAAAACGGTATAATATCGTTACAAATTTCCAGTTGAAAAACGGTAGAATCCGCTATATTTTTACATTTGCGGTTTCATTTTCGTTTTTGTTTTTCAGAAGAAAAAAAAACAATAAATGGCGCTCATGGTTTGCAGTGGCAGCGCAATGACAAATTGACAATGCAGCAACAACTTCCGCGTGGAGATTGCAGCAAGCCCAACAGGGAAAAAAAAAAAAACTTAAGGGGTGTCTGGCATGGCTACGTAGGAGAAGCCGTTGTGGCTCCTTCAAAATAGTTTCTGCTTTTTTACTCGGAAAAACCGTTCTTTTAAAAAAACGTTTAGCACGGAGTGCAGAGAAGCCCTAAAAAGAAAGGTGGAATGGAATGGGCATGGAGGCAGGAGCCTGAGTCTGACGTGCGACCGCGACTGATTGGATGGGATGCTCAGCAGGTTGTTTGTCTTGTACGTCTTCCATTTCTTTTAATTCCAATTCCAAGGCGAAGCTGGAGCCGCTCCAGAAACCTTACAGTGATTGTAGCTCAGCGGGTAGGCTCTTTCCGATGCAACCTATTTATCCATTTTTTATTTTTTTTACCTGATGCAGGTACTCGTACTAGGTTTATTGTAGAACTAATAATAAACATGCTCATATGTTGCACCGAAATATATATTTTGTTGCGTGACACTCATGCCGATTGTTATAAACTAGTTTATTTTGTTAGATTTAATTAAGCTTGGAGACACCTTAATTAAATAAAATGTTTCGGTGCTGCCTCAAAAATATCATATATTATACGGTGCTCTTAATTAATGTTAGGTAGGTTTAGGTACACAATTAACGTACTCTTACGTACGTAGCGGTCAAACAACATGCATGAAAGTAAAGCACATGTAGTGATTGATTCCGTTGGCCTCTTCCTTACTTGTTGGTAGTCACGAGCGCGCAAATATATTGCAAGCACAATGATGGATGCAGACATGGAGTGAACATTATATTCCTCGAGTTGAGTTGAGTTGAGACTCACGAGAGACTTGCTAGCTTTTACGTACCTAGCTCCATGTGCACGAGGGAGAGCATATGCATATCCAATATCCTGCGTGCATGGTTCCTGACCGACCGAGACAAAGAGGAACCGTGTTAAAAATTGAAGGGAGAGGAAGATGACAACTTGGCATCTATCTCTTGGAGTCTTGAGTAAGGTCGACGTTTAGCAAGCAGGAGAGCCAATAATATATATAGTCCATTGCTTGTTGTAACATACAACGCATTATATAATAGTTGGCTACTCCCTCTGACCTCCTTTTATCTGTCATTGCTATTTCTCGAGAAGTTAAACATACTCTATTTTTTATCAAATATGTATAAGAAAATATTAATATTTATGATACATTATTCGTATCATTAGATAGACCGTTGAATTATGTATTCATATTAAGTGTTGCTAATTTTTCTATAAACTTAATAAAACTTAAGAAAGTTTGATCAACACAATATCCATAGCGACACCTAAAATAAAAGGAGCGTAGAGAGTACTTGTTTGTCTCGTAAATCTTTTTGGTTCTTGTGCATGAGTTGGCTCCAATCTTTTCTCCTCTCTATCTCCTCTATCTCAGCATAAAACTTTATTTAGAACCCTTTAATATACTTCGCTCTTAGTACATGCTAGGCCGGTTCAAGTAGACCAACTTATCACAAATAGTGACGTGACAATCACATTCACACAATAGATGCATTATTCCTCCTACGCTCTCTTGTAAGCTTTCAATAACAATCCACGACTACCTAACACCGGGGCCAAAAAGGGCCAGCATACACTATCGCACGCCTATTGCTGGTAGCGCCCTACAAATAAAGCTGCTTGTTATTAGTGTCAGATTGATTAAAGAAGTTGGCATGCATGCAGTTTGATGATGCCTTTGCCTAATTGCTGGCTGCCCACAACTCCCCCTCTTTCTTGATATGATATGATGCCTCTGTTCGACTGGTTGAAAAAACTGGTCGATATTGATGCTGATTTGTTGTAAAAAAAATACTATTATTTCACTGAAACGCGTAGCGGACCGATAAACATACCTACTAGACGAGATATTGATACCCTTTTCAAATGCTGCTACATGCATGCACACATCTCCAGATCTCCTTTGTCCTTTGATATGCATGCATGCATGCTGCTCAGTCAAATAAACTGTGGCACCGGCCAGCCAGCTGCCACCGCAAGACAGGGAGCCGCCATGCCATCGGCCATCGCCTTCATTCATATATAATCCTGCGTGCGTTCATCGACTAGAGTCTAGAGTACAGAAGAATCTGGCTTCGCCTTTGTTTAAACTCGACCTCCTGCTGATGCAGTGATGCTCCATCCAGTCGACACAGGAAGTAGTACTCCCTAAATAACTAATGTTATTGGAGTACGTGCCACAAGTTTAACTTGATTTATATAAAATACATGTAACATTTATAGCTCTAAATAAATTTATTAAAAACTAGATTGAAAGATCTTTCTAATAATACTAATTATATATCATAAATATTAATATTTTTAATATATATTTAGTCAAAATTGTTTATCCGAAAGCGAAAACGATACATATTCAGACACAAGTAGTACCTACTAAGCCGGTGGATGGCTGGTCCTAGACCTGTACTCAGTGTCCGTGTCGGTCAGGTTCAACGCTGACCGACTGACGAGGCATGCATGCAGGCGATGCCGATGAGATGTGTCAAGGGCTAAAACTGGCGTCTGCCATTGACCAAGTACTAGTAGTAACGTGTACAGACTCGACTCCGGCCAGAGTCCCAGAGACGGGACGGTCGGCAGTGGCTTGCTATACCGGCAGGCTTTGCGTGCGAGCTGGGACTGGGACAGTGGGACTGCGACAGAGAATCACAGAAACGACGACACCGGCCGGCTGCAGGTTTTATCGGTCTCGGCATCATCAGCAGGCACAAGCACGACGGCATCGGCAGAGGGCCGCTCACCTCACCGGTCGGTCAAGGCTGCCAACGCCTGTTTAGGTGTCGAGTGCCGATCGACCAGCGCGCTCCTCCGGTCGGCGTCGATTGGCTCCGTCCGTCCGCCCGTCCGTCGCGGTCAGCCAAATCTGCACGCGAGGCTAGCTCATCGTCATCAGTCCGTGCGATTTGCAACTGCATCTGCATGCAGGCATGCCCGACGAGCAACGAGACAGCTAGCTAGCTCCACCACCGTGGTGCCTGCGATCGTTGTGTCGTCCTTGTCCAAGCACAGGTGCACAGCAGAAGCAGAGCATGCAGGCCGGCCCCCCTCGCGCACTGGGCCTGGGCGCCCGCCGCCCGCCCGGACTGCTCCTGCTGGGGCCTCGATCGCCGAGTGCCCTTGCCCATGCATCTCGGGAAGGAGAACCAGCAAGATGTCTCCGGCTCTCCGCTGACAGGACAGCTCGGGCGAGCTTGGTACTTGCTCCTTTTTACTGTATGTATTTCTCCGGGTCTGCCCTGATCCGATCGAGCAGACTGTGACATGATAAGGTTGCTCGATCGGACTAGAGCAGACTCAGAGAAATGCATAAAAAAGAGCACATGCCGAGCTCGCTCAAGGTACCTGTCACGGAAGACATCTTGGCTGATCCTTCTTCCGGTTGTACCGTCATCGTCTACCTAAAAACATTTGGGGGTGTTGTCGTCATCCATCCACGTGTGGCCTTGCAATAAGTTGGGTGCTAGCACTATTCGTCGACAGACCGCTCCGTTACTCAAGGATTGGTTGTTCTTATACTCTTTGCCGTCTCTTGTGCACTGCGTCGGCAGCAGGCCTAACGGGGTTTCATTAAAGACGATAAATTAAGGAGATAGGGGCTAAAAGTGGTGATGAGTTGCAAGAGAGAGGGAGAGAGTGCTGATGAGAACGCAAATATTGGTGCGCCCATACAAGACGGCAAGAAGAAAAAAACAACAGCACATGACAAAACTTAGATGATCAAATCCTCTACCAATGCTTGGCAGGCCTACACATTGGTTGGGTAAGTGGACAAAGACTTACAAAAACACCTAGAGTCATGTATTATATTGTGACAAGGCTACTGAGTATAGGCTATCTCATACATAAGAGGATATGCTAACGCACAAACACATGACCAGAAAAAAGGAGCTTGATGGACTGTTGAGGATCTCGGAATTTATC